CATAAACTCTCTCGTTTGATATAGAAATCAATTTTATTTGCTAAATATATTCGTAAAATAAAGAATTTGGAAAATTTTCTCTCTTTTTGGGTATCAATTGCATATATATTTTCTCAATCATTTCTTTAAGTTTTCCATTGATTTTTGGTATGGTCAGTGATACTAATTAGCTCACAAAGTGATGAGAATTTGTTATAAATTTTGAAACGTATCTGCGTTTAGATTCTTATGTGATTGAGAAACATTAACCCAAAATCCACAGAACAATAAATAAGAGGTTTCTCAAACTTAAAAGATAAACAGATCACCATGAACCATTAGAGAGTATAATCAAACCATTTCTAGATTAGAAGCCACGAAAGAGTATAATCAATCAAACCATTTCTGGATTAAGAGCTTATGATTCAAGATTTATTAGCCAAAACCACAAAAAGTCTTAAAAAGCTTCATACTTTTCATCAGATTCACGATCAAGCTCGTCTCTTTCACCAAGCAACAACATAAACATAAATCCATAATAATCCAATAAATAGCTAAAACAAACCACAAACCCAAATCACAATTTTCCTCATAAAACCCTTACTTACCAACAAATCTCATGTTACTCCATGGAAACTTCGCACCCGCCACCGCACCACCAACCTTCGCCGGAGAATTCGACCTTTCACCACCGCCACGACGACGACTTTTCCCATTTCCATACCCACCGATCTCTCTCTTCTCCTTCTGATCAAGCCAATGACTCTTCTTATCATCTTCTTCCTCAACGAAACTAGATCCTTTCACTTTACTCTTCCTATCTTCTTCAATAAACTTCACCGGAAACAAATCCCTAGAAATCGACAAAGGGTTTTTCAGAGTCACGTAAGCTTTCTTGTAATCAGCTTTCGCTATCAATAACCCACCACGCTTCTTCTTCTTCCCGTCCATGTTAAGCGTATTCACTTTCTCCACTTCGAATCCGTAGAGAGATTCGAGGACTCGCTTGATCTCGATCTTTGTCGCTGATGGGATCGTTTTCAATGCGAATTCGTGAATGTTGGTGAGTTTTGGAGGCATCAGAAGCTTGATCGGAAGATTCGCGAAGTGAACCACTCGTCCTCCCAATCTACCTGCCATTTTTCTCGAGAAATTTTGAGATTTCGAAATCAGAGTTTAGGTCAAAAATGAAACCTTTGTTCTTCCCTAAAGTCTCTCTCTCTTTTGCATATATGCCTTAATGGGCCTGAATAAAGCTTAATGGGCCAGCTTTTATTTTGATATTTCAGTCTAAAATCAAAAAAAAAAAGATTCGGAGTTACAAGTGAGAGTAGTTTGTAAATTGAGATGTGATTTAAGTCGCACCACTTACAAGATAAGAGAAGAAGATTACATTATTAGTACTACACCATTTACAAAAGAGAACCTCACTTCTTAAAAATTTTCATTTTGATATTCTTCTTCATGATCATGATCATTACCATCTGCAAATACCAGGCTCCATTGTTTTGCTGAGAGCTAGAATCTCATCATACTTTGAGCCATACACAAATCCCCATAGCTGCAAAATCAATGGTGTGTTTGTTTTCAGTAAAAAAAGTTAAAAAATTTTTGAATCTCACCATATACAGAGTGTTGAAGTTAAGTACCTCCACTTCCTTAATATCAAAGTCCTGAGAGTTTGCGAGACAAGAGTTCCCGTATGTCTCTGAGTAAGCACTTGATCCGCTTAGCCTAAAAGAACATGATGAATCAATCAATTTGAGGAATTGGAAGTGGAAAATGATTTTTTCAGAGTTTTGGTAAAGAAATCTTACAGCTCACTGTCCAGATAGAGAGCAAAACGTCCACCACCACCGAGAGCTAGAAAGTCCTTGGAGCATAAAGTGTAGAACCGATTTGCGCCTGCTCGAGTGCAAACCATTATCACAAGTGAGAATATTAAAAAAGACTCCAAGAAGCTCTATGTTGCTGAGCAATGCATAAGGACAATAATAATACCCGTGGGACGGTATATTGCGGGTTGTCCGGATTTATTTGTGAAAACAAATGTACTGTTGGTTCCCTGGCACAAAAACCCAACGACAAAGAATGTTAATTAGAGTTAAAAGAAAGAAAACTTGATAGATGGATTCTATTAAAGATTGGATATTTGGAGCCAAACCTGATACTTTTTATCAGTTGGTATCAAAGGTGCCTCGACTAGACCACCAAAAACCGAACCTTTTCTGTCTCCAACAACCTGAAACGTCAACGGTTGCAATAGCGCTCCATAAAAAGTCCATACTTCACCAAATGAAATCAACATTTTGAGTCAGAAACTGAATTTTATTTACCAGTAAACTGAGACCAGGCCAGAGGAGGCTTTTCCTGTACAGCGTTGATAGTGATATACCATGCCTCCATGTACTAAAAAAAAAACACAGCAAATCAAACCAAATGATCACACACACGGCTAGAATTAGAAATCAAACTCTAAAATGCTTTGAATGTGCTCGCTTACCTATAAAGCAATATCCATTTCCTCCCTTGAACAAGCGCAGGAAGTGAAGAATAGAGGGAACGTCTTGACTGGTCCGATAAAAGCAAAGAGGGCTCCGAAATTTCAGTTATGATTACTTGTACTACTATGGCTGAATCCTCTTTGACATTGTTATTCTGTATTGGCTTCAATTCCAAGCCATCACATTCAGTCGCTTCATCATCCGGTTTCACATCAGAATTTCCTTTTCGCTCCTTAACCCCGGGAAACTTAACAGCCTGATAAAAATTCCTCAAATGCTGTTTATACTTGGACAACAAGCTCTTCTTTGCACCACCACCACCACTAGTAGTCTCCTTCATTGCTCTTCTAGCATTCACCGACGATGATGATGTATCGCTTGTTTCTGCCTCAGAAC